GGGGGGGTGATAGACACACAGCACACTCTCTCGAAAGATAGAAAAACTCTTGAAAACACCTATGCTCAGATTACTAGAGTCTTTGTATAACGTGCAAGTACCGGTATAGTCTCTGCCTTGGTTCCATCCCTGTTCCTTCTACTTTGTAAGTCACAGTAACGCTGTGGATGTTGTTCAAAATCTGATATAAGTCACTCATCTGGCAAAATTTGACCTTTAACGTTTAGACCGTTGTCATGGTACCTGTTGTTATTGTTGGTGGTGGTGGTAGTATTGTCGTTGTCACTGTTGTTGCTGTCGTTTTTTGTTGTCGTAGTCGTTGTTATTGTGGTTGTTGTTATTACTCTTCTTGTTTTTGTTGTTGCTATTGTTATTGTTATTGTTCTTGTTGATATTGTTGTTGTTGTTGTTGTTGTTAATTTAATTTTGCTGTCCCTACAGCGTCCCCAGGACAGGAGCTTCTCCATTACCAGCCACGTCAACGAGCGGAGAGAAAGGTCAGTACATGAACATGTATCACACACACGTACACACACATACACACTCACACACACAGACACACACACATATACACACACACGCACTCACACACTCACACACACAGACACACACAGACACACACACACACCCATATACACATACACACACGCACACACACACACACACACACACACACGCACGCGCGCATGCGCATGCGCACACACAGACACACACACAGACACTCACACGCACTCACACACACATAAACACATACACAGATACTTATACAAACATGCACACACATATATACACATGCACACTTGCACACACTTGCACATCCACACATACATACGCACAGACACACACACACACACACACACACACACACACACACACTCGCATATATGCTGATACTGGGAGGTGAAGCTGTCTCAGATGATAGCTCTATTCTTTGTATATGACACGTTTCTCTTCGAGCTCAGGAGTGCCAGACAGTGTGTTCTTGAGCAGCGTCTTCCCGGGTGGTATGGGGAATGTTACATCTTCCTAGAGATGGCTTCAGCTCACCTTTGTAGCCTCCATTTTTTTCTGTCCCCTGAGAGAGCTTTTGCCTGAAATCAGCTCACCAGAGTAATCTCTTTGGGAGGCGAAAGCCCTCCAAGCGGCGAACATGGCCACCCTACCAGAGCTGAGAATGCAGTAAGATGACGTGAATGCTCTCCGTCTCTGCCCGCTGGAGTACCTCAGTGTCTGGGACTCTTTCTTGCCACTTGATACGGAGCATGGTCCTGAGGTATCTCATGTGGAACGCATTGAACTGCTTGGCATGCCGGCAGTAGACTGTCCTCGTTTTGCAGGCGTAGAGCAGAGATGGCAGAACTGCTGCTCTGTACACTCTGAGTCTTGTGTTACGGCTCAGTCCTCTTTGCTCCCTGACCTTGTTCTTCAGTTTGCCGACTGTTATACTGGCATTGTTAATTCTGTAGGCTACATCCTTGTCGATATTAACAGAGTGAGATAGAGTGCTGCCAAGGTAGACAAACGTATCTGCCACTGACAGTATCTGACCGTTGATGGGGATTTGATGTATAATATGGAGCTGTCGGCTAGCTGGTACAGAACTTTATCTTCTTGGTGGAAATATTGAGCCCGAAGTTGTCGCAAGCTTTAGAAAATAGGTCCAAGCTTCCTTGCATGTTTGACTATGCTCTGGCATTCAGCACACAGTCGTCGGCAAAGAGGAAATCACAGGCTATGTCCTCACGAACTTTAGTCTTTCTCTGAAACCTCTAAAGGTTGAACAGTTTCCCGTCAGTGCGGTATAATCGAAAATTTACACCGATCTCTTTGTCATGGTAGGCGTCGGTCATCATTACTGAAAACATCATGCTGAATAGGGGTGGGGGTGGGGATGGTGGGGGTGGGGTTGAGGGTGGGGAGGGGTAGTATAAAGCCCTGCTTAACTCTGTCAGTGATGGGAAAGGGCTGGGCGTACTCGCTGTCGCTGTCGCCCTGCCCTGTTGCGTTCATGCCCAAATGGAATTGCTGGACGGACCAATCCGTTGAGCTGTGCGGGACACCCGAACTTGGCCATGGTCCTCCACAGCCCTTCACGGCAGACAGTGTCAAACACTTTGGTCAGGTTTACAAAGGTGGAGCAAAGTCCAACGTTCTGGTTTTGCATTGCTCATGTAGTTGTCTAACGGCGAAAATCATGTCCACGGTATCCCCCACAATGACCACACCGTCTCTAAGACATCCCCCACCACCCCATACCCCTTCTCCATTCATATCAGACAAACTAGTGAGCGGAGGAAAAGGACAATAAATGGAAATAACAGAGACAAGAGCATCCATGGATCGGGTCAGGAAAATGGCGATATCTTTCATCTCTAGGACGCGTCTCCAGATCCAGCCCTTGAAGCTCTCCCCCTTAAGTAGATTAATAAACTTTTACTTTAATACATTAACAATTTTAGAGTGGGCCCTGTCAAGGTTGCCACCCCTTGCTCAATGTAAAAAACTTGGCTTCACTACTGTACACCATAGGGGGACTATTGAAGGGTAAAACACAAATCTTGCTTTAGTAGAGTGTGCATACAATCTTTCTTTCCTTGCCCTTCATTCAGTTCCAAACTTGAGTCAAATGGTACGCTCCATGGTGAACCGGAATAACATCATACGGCACAGTCTTTGATATCACAATACAAGTGTACGGGAAGAGCTGATATATGAACTAGTATAGTTTGGATTTACCGCCCCTTACCACGTCGAGTCACATGAGCCGAACATAGAAAAACAACTATCACCAATATAGGGCCTCGAACCGACAGGGCGAAGAGCTCAGAAAATCTCCCAAACAACGGAACCAAGCACACACCACCATTTATGGTAAGATACTTACGTTTAATCCCCTTTAATGTATTGGTCAATCAGGCTGCAATTTAGATAGATAGACAGACAAACAGACAGACAGACAGACAGACAGACAGACAGTCAGATAGATAGATAGATAGATAGATAGATAGATAGATAGATAGATAGATAGATAGATAGATAGATAGATGTAAAACTTTTGATAAGACATTCACAACTTTTCTATTGTTTCCACTTTTTCACCACCAGATGGATACACAAGAATGGACGTTCCATCGGTGAGTTCAGTTTGTCTGAAAGGGCTGTCTATTGACCAGGGGCGGCTTATGGTTTGTAGAACTGACCGGCTGTGATTCACTTTGAATACCCCCCCCCCCCCCAAGCCACCTCCCCCCCTTACAACACAGAGAGAGAGAGAGACAGAGAGAGAGAGAGAGAGAGAGAGAGAGAGAGAGAGGGAGAGACAGAGAGAGAGAGAGAGTGAGAGAGAGAGAGAGAGAGAGAGAGAGAGAGAGAGTACGTCTATTTCGGGCCCTATGTTGTTGTCAGGACATTCAACGTTAACACCAAACTGACGTTGGCTGTCCTGCCTGGCAATAGCAAGAAAAAAAAGCAACCCCGCAGAGCGCGCCGGTGGCTCGATTTCTCTGATTTTGAGTAAAGCCTACCATCTTTCTCGGGGGACAATGCTCGGTTATTGCAGTTTTTGATAAACAAAAAAAAATAAAAATTTCATTTTATATAAAAACAGAATTTTTGAAAATCCTCCTCGTGGTGGTGAAAAATGCCAGTTTTCTATTTTTTGGTGTAGATGCTGTGGACACTAATTGAAGCACCAGTATGTTATTTTTACATGACCTACTTTTTAGACTACTTGGTATTACTCACGTGAAAGAAAAAGCGTAAAAACTCAAAAGTGTACCATTTCTATACAATCAAAAAGTGCTACCTTACTTTTGAAAGCCAGTATACGAGTAGGATAACAACAATAACTTTACGGAATACTTTGCACCTGTTCGTCGTGAGGGTATGGGGGTGTGTGGGAGAGTACAAATCAAACAGTTCTGTATTAGCGCACCGTCTGACGTCTTGTCGAGTCTCTGATACAGTACCCTTCTTTAGTCTCGAAGCTGCAGTCGTGACTTTTTTCACATCATCCCCTGGGTTCAACTGTAGAAATGTAAAGAAAATTGCAATTTGAGCCAATTTCCTAGTCCTGAGTCTGTCTAATCCTACTTCGTCCCACTAGTTTCAGTTGTTTTAAATAAGAGTTTTACAGCACAAGTAACATAAATAAAGCCGAAGATTAGAGGTGTTGCTAGAATATTTTTAAGGTCGATTTTTTTGCTCCTCCATCAACACGATTTAGATTATTTAGAAGGTCGGCTTCTGACCCCTCCTGGCCTGATAGGGATATATCCCAACAGAAGGACCGAAATGCTCTATACAAAATGTTCTCCTCACTTGGAAATCGAATTCGGTTTTCCTGCGAGAGGACAGCGAAGAAATCTAACAGCTACACCACATATGCAGAGATGTTACTAGAGAAAAGGACTAGATGTTTGAAAGGAAAGAAGGAGCACACCTCACCAGGGCACCCACCAACCATCTACCTTCCCGCATCTATTCGCTCACTTTGGGTAATTCTTAGCTCAGAGGTAGCGACTGGCGCTCATATGACCTTATGCAGTTGCGAGCACGTAAAACCTCTACTAAAACAAACAAGAGGTAGCGACCTTTTTGCATGTGATTTTGTTTTGTCCAACTTCCCAGGCAAAGGAGAAAACAAGAGCCACACATCAGTACATGAACGTCAACACAAACAAGGCCTACTGAGACAGATTGTCAGCGCGGCAAGTCATGAGAGGCAACGTCAAGCTCATGTTGTTTAACACTTCAAATACTTGTCACCTTGTGACCGGCCCGCTCATAGGACTTTATGCAATTGCGAGTGTCGTAAAAAAAAGAGCGTTGTGCTGCAGCATCGAATAAGACAAAATTTCTATTCGAAACAGTTTCGTTTGCCGTCAGTAAATTATGGTTTATTTTTAGAAATGTGTGTACCTCTGAATTACAAAGTGTGACATTTCTGGTTAAAACTTTGTTGTCATGTATTTGCAGTAGCCCTTTTTACACGTGAGGAGGCAATTGGACAGGATTTGCAGAAATTATAATTCGGTGATTTCTTTCTTTCCTAGTTTGGCCTCCAGATCTCCCTGCCTACAATTTTTTTTGTCTTTTTTTAACCCTTCCCTTTCTGGGATATGGCGTACACCTCTTCTTCAGCTCAGTCTGGAACTGTCTGTACATGATTTAGACCGTCAACGAATACCCATTGTTTGGGGTGAGGGTTGCACATTGCCCGGTGAACATCGCTGTGAAACACCCCACAAACATAAGTTGATGCTATGACGGTCCTACACAGATTATTATCATTGTGATGTGAAATGGCTGCGTTCTTCAACAAAGATTTTCTGGATATCATCTGCCAAAGTATCTGCTGCACCTGAGTCTGGTTTCTCCTGTATGGCGGAAAATGCAAAGTGTCGTCATGTAAGACAAATCAGTTCGAACCATGCCTGGCAGTATGTTTGTAAGCTCTAGTTAGGCCCAGTTTTTGGAATTTTGAAAACCCCTGATCAGACACTTAACAGTGGGTACTCGAATGAAATTTAAACGGAATAACGTGCCAGTCCTACTTTTAAAAACAAACAACTTCCAGTTGGAGTTTTGACAATATACTAGATCTAATAATAATTATTCATATTAGTCGTGAATGTTGTGCGATCTGCTCCCGTCACGGTATGGTAATCGACAACTCCCTCCCCCCACTCCCCCCTTCCCTTCTTTTTAAGCAAGCTTAATTCAGGTCTTTCCATGTCGCTCACACGCATGACAATTGCGCAGCGTCACATGTGAACTGAAAAAATTCCGATTTCCGTGAAAAACAAAACAAAAAACACCCAAGCTGTCTGTATTTATGCCATCCATGATGACTGTACGCACTTCTGACAGTTTCAAAATCGATCAACTTTTTGTGAATGATGTATCTGTTGTCTTTTGAACCTGAAAGCTAAAGAAAATAATTCTGTTTGTGTATGTTTTTGTATATATTTAGAAATGCACTGATAAACAACATATATTATCTATTTGAAATGAAGGGGGGGGGGGTTAATACAATTCTACATTGTGATCTCATGTTGTGTATCTTTGAATGTAAAACGCACTTGTATTTATTATTGTCCAAGCGAGCTTTTTAGAGACAAAGGCTATGGTGTTATTTCTTGCATCTGTAGAGTAATTTTTCTACTTGTATGATTCTTATGTCATGTCATTTCTGGCAGATTGTTTTAAACTTTACATTAAAGTTGGTTAGGTCAATTCTGTTATTTGTAAAAAAGGAAACTTAAAACTTCGATTTGTCTCTTTCAGTCTTCAATACAATTGACTCTACTTGTGTTGAACTCGCTTGGGTTGATCTTCGAAATGATCTTTTTCTCGGATCCCAGCACCTTTTTTTTACATTAAGTCAAACGGTTATGTTGAGTTCAATTTCAAATATAAACACGCCTGAGTTGAAATACTTTTTTTTTACACCCGTTGCAAGTAGACAAAGGTTGTATTGATTTTTAATATTGATTGATTGATTGATTGATTGATTGATTGATTGATTGGTTGATTGATGATGAAATGGTGAACGGAAAGGAATCTCCCCCCCCCC